CCCACACAGGTTTTTGATGAGGCACAAAACTTGAAAGTTCTCTTATATTTTTAAAATTTTTAAAATACAAAGTTTTCCAATGGTTAAATTTTGACCCCTTAAAAGAATTATTAGAGTGTCTCAATCCCAAAGTGGCATTCTTACTTCAAAATATCTAGTTCCTATATAGAAACTTGGATTTCATTTCAAACTGAATAAGGTGGTCAGTCACAGAAGAAAAGAGATCTCTGGGTGAAAATTATAAAACAGCTGTTTCTTAAGCTCAGGGAAATTTACATTCTCTTTGTGTTTTTAAATACTTAATAGCTGGTAAAGGTCAGTGCAAAATTCCTTTTACTGTTGGAGGCCAGTCCAAAACTGTCAAGTATACAGAAAGCAGCTAATGGCACAACATAGTAATTACATTGTTTTGCCCTAAAAAATATGATTTTTTTTACATTTTCCTTATTTTGGAGCTATTATAAACTGTATTAAGATTTTTAATCCCAATTCATCAAAGAAATTATTAAAGTGTCACATTTTTATGATATGCCTTTACAAGAAAAAATACATCATCAGAATGTGGTTTAAATGTGAAAATGATGCTTCTTTGAACAACTTTATCTGAATGGTGATTAACTGGCTGCCTCTTGGCCAGTGATTGTGACTCCACAGAGGTTAGGATGACAGCCCGCCAGGGAGGGGTTGGCTAACGACATTAATGATGACCTGCAGAAGAGACAGGAGCCTCTCTCCATAGCAGAAATGGGATGAATCCTGACCCTGGTAGTTATCTCTGCAGCATCAAGCAAATTCCTTATTTTCACTAGGCCTTGGGTTTCTATCAGAATTATGTTGTCACAATACCCATTGCAATGTGCCTATGAAGCTTGTGAGAGAAAATTCAGGGGCTCGGGGGAATTGTGCGGCACTGAGTAATGGTAGGAAGTTATTATCATTATGTTGAGATTCAGGAATATTGGATATGTCTGGACCCTGGCAAAGTCTTAATTAATTCTTGTTTTCTTCTTTCCAGGTTAGATAGCACCTGACAAGTGACTAGACAGATCCCCATGGGTTAGATCTTAAAAACAGAGAAACAAGGTTGAAGCCTGGCTATACCATTCCCTAGTTTTATGTTCCTGGGCAAGGTACTAGCTTTTCTGGGCACAAGTTTCCTTCTCAGTTTAATTGGGCCTGGTGATATTTAATCCATAAATTTATTTGAGGATTTCATGAGATGAAGTATAGAAGGGCATTCTTGATTGTGTCTGACAGTGTAGACAGTTATTAGCTAATTAAATCTGCTTGCTTTGTAATTAACTTCTGAATAATAAGAGGAAATAGCAGGATACTATTCCCAAATCACAATAAAATTATATAATATATAGAAAGAGATGAAGAAAATATTAGTTGTATGAATATTAAATACACATGTACGACAAGTTAAAATTTTAAAACTTTATCTAGTGAGGTAAATCAAAGAATCATCCAGCCCCATCTTTTCATTCAGAATATTGGTTCATGTAGAAGCATTTTAGTTCTGTGTCCAAACATCCCAACTCCTTTCATGGGATGGTGGTAAGAGTCTCTATACAAGAGCCTGAAAACAATCACAGCAAACCATGTTATTCATTTTTATGTCCTCCCTCACACCAAAGGTACCACACTGAACACAATTTTGTTGCCTTTGATGTAAAAAATATTAATGATTTGAAGTGCTAGAAGAATTGCCTCTAATGGAAATCTGATACTGTCATTCCCCTAGTCTTAGGTCTTCCTTTTGCATCCTGAAGTCTGCTTGTGGAAATTAGAACTCTTTAGCGCAGCTGTTTATAAAGCACCCCGTCCGGACTCACCATGGTTTTCACCTTTTGCTTTCTCGCTTCCCACTAAGTTTTTGATAATTCAACTACCATAAGCTGATTGGCTGATGATTTGTCTCCCCACCATGCCTGTGAACATGCCTGCTGCCTGTGATACCTTCCCTTGCACCTGCCCGACTCCTCTGCAGCCACTCTGTGTCCGCAGGAGCCTGTGGTACCTACCCCTCCCCTCACAGCCCCTCACCAAGCTGACCTTGGGGAAGCAGGAAGTGGGCCTGGAATAACTGCCTCTAATTAAGCATCTGTTGAATGAATGTTTGACTCTTACTCCTCGTTCTCATTTCCAATAGGACTGGTACTCCTCCTCTGACATGTTGGGTGCCAGGAAGTAGACACCACTCATAGATGTGACTTTCAGTCAGGGCAAGGTGTGCATACTCTGCCCAGGGTGGGCTAAGAACCTGGCTGGATGTAGGCCTGCATGTGATCCATTTTCACAGGATGTAGCCTATGTGCCTCTTGTACAAAAAATTGGTGGCTAAACGCAAGCTATAAGGTCCACTGACTGTGGCGTACCAACCCTTGCTACACAAAGGGCTCCCAAGTCAGCCGTGTCCTTCCTCTGGGGATCCAGTCTTCCTTGCAGTCAACGTTGCCCATTACATAGATTTCATGGGTTTTACCACATTGAGTATAAACAGCAAGCAGTGCTAGAGCTGTAATATGGTCAGAAACTGGAAAGCTACATTAGGCTGACTGCTTAATATTCGGTAGGGAAAACACAAGCAGAAGAGGTACTGTTCAGAATTAATTATTGTTTCTCTTTAATTTGAGTTCAACTAGTATGTATGAACACACAGATATTCTCAGTACCCAAAGCAATTTTGGAATTAGGAAGGTGAGGCCTCTACCATATTGCTCACTCTGATGCAGGTGAATTTCCTGTTTGTTCTGGCAAAACTTTTCCTTACATCAAAAGCACCCACTGCTCTGTATGTGTATATTAACCCAAAGGCTGTGATGACTTATCAGTTGGCAAAATATCCCATCCACTTGGGATCAGAAACTAAGCCAGCCAACTGACTAACAAAACTGAAATGTATCCAAACCGCTCAGGGAGCAAGGTATGTGACTCCAGCAGGGGGTCTCCCAGGACACTGGATGGGATGGCGATGACCATCTCTGAGTGGTAGCCTGAGAAAGATCACAGCCAAATTCATCATCAATTTTTATTTCCTACCATATACCAAATGTACAGCACTGAACACAATTTTGTTGCTTTGATGTAAGAAATATTAATTGTTTTGAAGAAACAGTATACAAACTACTTGAAATAAAAAAAATGCATACATCATTGCCTTTTTGCTGTTTACAAAAGACCAAATTTACAGAATCGATCATTAATGTAGTGGAAAGGAAAAAAAAAAAATTCAGTGCACATTACAAAACACGTCAAGTACAAAGGAGGCAAATAAATACAAACATATTTCACAAAGTGTTCTTCTCAAACTATGCAAACACAAATAAATTAACCCAAAGTCATAGTAAATTATAGTAATAAATACAGAGGTTGGTAAGAGGTTTCTTTTAAATTAAATAAAATATATAACAAACTTGTTAAAATATTTATCAAATTAAACCTTTGTCTTTGCAATAAGTGAACTCATTTGTATGCATCTATTAAGTACTGTATAGCAAAATGTTTGCAAGTACATAACTTTAATAGAAAATTGTGTTTGGTATCCCATTTATAATAGACTATGGTAGCTGCTTTCTTTTTAATTGAGTTTTAAATAAACACCATTCCTACCTAAGAACAGACATCTCATTTTCACTAAACTAAGATTCAAGGGTTCAAATGAACCCCAAACCAAAGATAAGCCCCACTTAATACATAACAATGACCACAGTGTCATGGAAATTGGAGTTACTGTGATATTACTTTTGATTTGTGCAGGTAACAGTAATAACAGTGGAATATATCAAGCCTGTGTGCTGTCACATTCAACCTACATATCCATGAGGCTAATAAAAAATAAACAATTTTCTTATAGCACAGAAAATTAAGCCCACACGAAGTTCAAGTGTCCATTTACACGGAGGCACATTGCACACAAGGTGTGTGTGCACACCAAAAAGGCAGTTTAGCTGGTTGTCTATACCTTTATCTTAAAAAAAATAAATATAAAAAAACTTTTGAAACAATGCTTAACTACTTTACAATCCCTGAAATAGACATTGCCTTAACTATAGCAACTACTAAACTCTGATCCATCTAGAAATTCAAGATTTCGGGCTCAATTTCACACAAGTAAGTGTATGCATTATCTGTGGGTAGTTTGTAGCTCTTGAAGTCCTACAGAAAGATTTTCATTGAATTGAAAGTTGTCCTGTTGCCTAAGAAGGGTGAGACAATGTCACCAGTGCTCAGATGGGAGAACCATTTTTCACCCGTTACTATATTTTCCATTCATTTCCAGTCAACCCAGTAAGATAAATGCTATTTCAGGGGATATGGTTATCTACAGAATTTTCCATTTGGATGTGTTTGTATTCCCTAAGTACAAATCTACATCAATATTGTCACTTGTATGTTGTACCAACATATGGCAGGAAAGCCTGGCTGGTCACATCAAATCTTATTTCTCATCTTGGAATAAGAGTTGCCAACTCTCTGATAGGATTTGAAAAACAGACAAATCTGCATCACTAAAAAAGCATACGTTTCTTTAAGCATTTCAAATAAATAATTCATATTAATGAAAACCGCATAGCCAAGTTGAGTACTTTGCTGATTGCTGTTTAATTATTGCTGCTTCCAGTACACTGTGCTTTGTGAGTGTGCATTCCCACCTGTAGGCACCAGGGAGCCTCTCATGCCCTCCATGCAGCTCACCGCAAGCCCACTGATAGATGCAAAGCCAGTGAAATGGGGCAAGAAGTGTGCAATAAAAATCAACTGGACCATAGTGAGTCCTTAGACAGGGATTCCCTTCATAGTTTTCTGTTTTCTCATTTAAACCCAGCAAGGTATGTGATTTGAGAATAGCATTTCTATTTCAATTCTATTGGAAAATAAATTAACGAACACACTTGTAAAAATATGGCAGACTTCAAAATGCAGTTAAAAGATAAAAAACTCTGATTAGAAATAAATAAAATATAAAAATGTCACATTTATTTTATATATACTTTACAAAAAAGAGAAAGAAACCAAAAGGAGTGCAGAAATAAAATAAAAACATATGAAAATAAATAAATTCTAATATTTGACTGCATCGCTTTTAATCCAAAGAGTCTATCATAGGTTTTCTTTCCTTTTTATGTCAGCTGGGGGGGAAAAATTAGTGCAATGTCGCCATGGTAAATGCAGGAGGCAACCTACATGCCTTAGCAGCACAGGATCCATCCGTATCACTGCCGTTGGTGAATTTTGCTGCCCAGCAGCCCTGTGTTCCTACACATGGATGCCCTTCACTGCCTGTTTGATACTTTCCAGCAGGGCTTTGCATTCCGGGGAATAGTCCCGTTCCAGGTTGCTGTACATGTCTGTGAGCGTATTTACATAGGCTTCAAAATTCTGCTCACTGATAGGCCCCTAAACGAACACAAAACACATCGAACTCATCACGGTGATTCAGGCTTAGGGAAAAGGAGTCCCAAACCAAGCCACACGGGAGGAAGTGTATCATAACCCCAGAGTCTGAGGGGGCATGAGGATCCAGGTGGCTGCTAGAGTTTGGGGAGATGGAGAGAGACTGAACATGCTGGGACTGGCCTGCTCACTCTCTCCTCAGTGGGATTAATAATGTGATGGGTTAGACAGTATTTGGTGGTCAGTCTGGGCACACACCAGGTGGATGTCAGGCTGCTGAACTAGATCCCTCTATGTGATGCTCAGCACAAGGCAGGCCTCCCGTTTGTGGAAGGGGGTGTTGTTGAGGCTAGGGAGGAAGGCTTCACCTGGACCACATGGCTCCCTTGACAGCACTGGGCTGGAATTTAAGGAATTTAAGATTTGAGCAAGCTGCTCACTAACTGGTGTCTGGTGGAAAAGTTTCCCTTTCTGTCTGAACTCGGACACCTTCTTGTCGATTTCCCTGAGCTACATCATTGGAATATGCTTCCTTGTTTTTCTGTCTCTTTTCCAGGCAGCACATCAGATGCACAAAGGCAGGTGCTGTTCATCCCTTTTTCTCTTTGTGTGTTTTGGTATCTCCTCTGCCCAGTGTGGTGCCTCAAAGAGAGTTGATGCTTGGAGCATGTACGCCACACGCATGGGTGAAAGGAAGCGAGCGGCAAAAAGCAAGTGTGATACAACCATTTTCTGGTGCCTCCATTTTCCCATTGTTTTGGAAAATGTGCCTTACTTACTTCACAAGTCTTGGAAGAAAGCACTTTTAAAAGGCCTAAATTCTACAGGCACAAAATATATTACTATTATTGGTGCTACTTAGAAAGTAGGCTATCTAAATGGGAAGGTATTTTGTTGTGCACAGCAAAGCACTGAGCAAAGCAGGAGTGTCATTGAGCACAGCTTTCTGTCCCCTCTTTGTTTCTGCCTTTGTTGTGCCCTGTTTCTCGGAGAGCCTGACAACTGGCCTTATGACCCAGGAAGCAGAATGGAAAAAGGTCACCAGCAAAGCCAGGCCCACGTGGCTCAGGTGGGCTTTGGAACCTTGATCAAATTACGTGATCTCTGAGCCTCAAGGTCCTCCGCTGTGGAGTGGGAATGCTGAAGCTCAGTCTTTGGTGCTCTGGTGAATGTTGAGTGTGATCAGCTCTAACAATCACCCCTGGCATGCCTGGTGTATAGCTGTATATGGTACAAGCTATCTTGTAGGGTAACGATTATTTTCATGGCACTGGTGATGGGCATACAAATTTGAAGTATGAGTTAGACAAATGTTAAAAATGATATTACAGAAATATCCAATAATTTATCTTAATAGGGGCCATAAATACTTTATTTTCCTTTGTGTTCTTAATTGTTACATTATTGATTTTCCTTTTTTAGTTGCCAGGAGACACATTTGGAACTGGTTAAAATGTGGCCTCTAGGCTGAGAAGGTGGGTCAGTTGAGTGATTTATTAATTTTGGGAAAACCAATCATATTTCTTCATTAAATTGCTGCTTCTCTAACCATTCTAAATATAAAATTTGCAGCTTTAGAAAACTTACTTTAAGATTGCATGTGATTAATAGCATTCAACAATGCAGCCTCTCTTCCAAATGTAACGGAAACTAATTTTCTATGAATTTTAAATAGTTCCCTGAACCAGTATGTGTTCACATTTGGGAAGTAAGGATGCCCTGCTCATTTTTGTGCTTTTGATTCAGGGTGAGAACTTAAGTATGTCCCTCATATGTAGCCCAAGGAAAGCACCAAGTTAAATTTTAGTTTTTATAGTCCTTGAATTGGGTGGCTGGCACACATGGCTGGCTTTCAGGTTTTATAAGCTGTCTACTTAGAAACAAATCTTTAGTGAGGGAACTTCGGCCTCCAACTTTCATATTACAAACTTTAAATAAACGCTCATCTGTAAATGACTCCTACAACATAAAAAACCCTTGGCCTCAGTGGGATTTAAATGTGGGTATCTATCATGGTCCTAGCAAGGGGCTTCCTGCAGGCTGACAGGGGGAAGCTGCTGGAGGCCAGAGCAGGAACTTTACTGGCCTGGCACTTACCATGTGTGGGAGCTGGATGTCGGCAAGGCTGGAGATGAGAGCCTGGCTCAGACCCGCCAGCTCCTTCAGCAGGCTCTCATTGTTCTGTTCTATAAGTTTGTTTTCCTCCTCTATCGTCTTTAAATTGCTCTCCATGGAGGTAATCTGAAATGGAAATAACTTGGGAATATGAGAAGTAGGCTTTAGGAGGAGTACAAAAGGTTTTTCTATGCAAGAAAACACGGACTAAATCTAAATGCCAAGGAATGCATACACGGCCACTTCTCTTGAAACTGTAGCCTCATTGTTCTGCTGGAAGTTTCCAAATTACATTCTCTAATCTGTATCTTTAGCCCAGATTGTTCCATAAATTGCAGGCTCTATGTGCCTGCATGGCCATGTGCTGGATAGCTCAGGCTCAGCGTGTTCCAGAGGTGGACTTTGCCGCTCCCCTACCAGCTCCCTGCACCCCTATGCCTCCATGCACAGCCCTATCCTCTCCAGCTGATAGCAACCTGGTGGTGCTCAGGCCATCAAGGACTCCCTGCTGTTTTTCTCTCACACTTCAAATTTACTGGGCTCCTCCTTCAAATATCCAGGCCTGATGACTGTTCCACTGACACTGCTGTCCCTTGGACCCAGCCAACAGTGTGACTGTGACACCTTTCCTGGGTGGCCCTGCACCTGGCATTACCTCCTGCCATCTTCTCAGCCCATCAGCACAGCTACCAAAAAAAGTCTCTTGAAATGTCCCAGAAGTAGGTCAAATATGATCGCATTAACCCTTGGCTCAGAACCCCAGAATGGTTATGCATTAATTCACAATAAAACCAAGGTCTTTAGAGGGCAAGGATGTACCCTGTGTCATCTCTGGGGCTCGTCTCCTATGGTCCCCCAGATTGCTCACCTGTGGCTATGCTCACTCCACTATTTCTCAAAACTCTGGGTCTTCACAAGATTTTGGGTCTCTGCACCTGTCATGTTTACTTGTTTGAAACACTCCCTCAACCCCTCAAGTCTCCCCTCAGATGCTTCCTTCTTCCTGAAGCCTTGCCTGGCCCTCTAATTTTACATGGAAATCTGGCTTCCTCTCCCTACCCCCTTCTCTAATACAACATAACTTATCATTTGTGATTTCCTTTTGTTATCGTCTGCCTCTGCCTTCTAGACAGTAAGCCCCATGAGGACAGAGGCCTTCGCTTTCTCTGCTAGTGGCTCTCCAGAGGAGCCCCCACGGTCTGTAAGCCAAGGCCTGAAGCTCTTCCTAGAGCCCTGGTTGCTGTTAATGGAACATTACAACAGGGTCACGCTGGGTCAGGAAACCAAGGCTGTGTTTCAGATGAACCAATACCTTCTCTCTGAAGCTGCTGCTTCCAAAGTCTTATGCTCAGGCAAGGAGAGAAGGAAGAAGGATGCCTAGTCTGTATTTTGCCTCTTTATTCTTTTCCTTCCCACTTATTGCAATAGAATCATTACTCACATTTGAAAAAAAATCTTGGACTGAACTTTAAATTTCGATTTGGGTAAAGTTATTAGAGGATGGGTCAGACATTACATAGGAGAATGAAGAATTGAGAAGTTGATTGGATTTTTCAGTAAAAAATCTGTTCAGGAAAATCTCCAAAAAGATCTGTTTCTAACAAACACTGACACAACCAGAGGTGTCCTAGACAAAGTATTCAATAAGTTGCTCTGTTTTACTTAAATTGTGAAGAAAGCTAAGTACTCTCACATCTTGTCATAACAATTTTTCAAAGGCACCACATGCTTTATAGAACTCCACAATTATAGGATGACCTGCTTTATGTGTTTATAAAAGCCTTTGATGCACCCAACACAGAAACATGAGTAACACTACCTACAACTCCGAAATTAGGGATGGCCCAGGGAGGCCCATCTGTTCAAGTTTTTATAATAACTGTGTTTTTAAGACATGCTCAGTGCATTTATTGCAACATATCAATTATATTTTTTATCAGATGGTTTAACAGTTCACTAAAGATAATGACTACAAAGATAACTAATTGCTTTTCCTTTTTTTTTTTTTACCTGTGTCTGAAGTTTCATCATATCTGCTTCAATTTTAAGGTTGGATTCATTCAGTTCCTTTATTTCTTCATCCAAATGCCTAATTTCTTCTTCACTCTCTATACCTATAAAAAGTTGGACTTAGTTCAAACTGAAAATATGACACTGTGACACATATGAGTCATTTTATGTGTAATTTGTGACCTGCTCACCGAAAGGTAGACTTTATTTTGAAATGTTTAGTTTTTACCAAAATTCATACCCAAGATTCTAAAAAAAAAGTGGGTTAAAGGAGTTGCAGGATTAATTCCTTTGTAAGAAGAGAGTAGGAAGTGCCACCATTTAATGGAGCTCCGTTATGTATCCTACTGCTAGATGTGTTCACAAAGAATTCCTTATTTCCACTTCCCTGCACCCTGTGGGGTGTGCTCCTTTATATCCTGTTCACATATGCAGACACTGAGCCTTGGAGCGGCCAAATGAGACCACACTAGTCACTGACAGGGGCTATGTAACCTGCCCAAGTCCTAAGTAGAAGGCAGAGCTGGGGTTCTCTAGTCCACAGCGCATGTGCTTTCTCACACACAGTGGTGCAAGGACAGGTAAGCCATGAGTTATGCTGATAATTCTGTATTTGTTATCTGAGTGGGACCTTACGAGCCATATAAGAGACAGAGCTGGGGTGCTGGTGGCGGGTTGGTGTGCAGGGCCACACACTCTGGATTCTCTCCCTGATAAGGAGCAAATGCAATCTGGGAGAAGAAACATGGGCTTCAGTGTTTGAACACTGGCCTTGACTGGTCTTGAACTTGTGCAGCTTTTCTTCCTTGTGCTTCAGTTTCCTCTTTAATAAAAACAGGCACAAAATCTATGTTGTGAGAATTAATGTAATAAGATATAAAGTCCTGAACAATAGTAATTTGATAAGTGGGAATTATTTCCCTATCACTGTTTATAGAAGGAATACAGGTACATTTAAAGATTTTTAAAAGTTGGAAGTGGTAGCTCATATTAAGGATACCAAAGGCAGGTTTAAGATAATGTCAGCAGTCCAGAATGATGAATCTAAACCAAGGAGATGACAACGAGGAGGCAAAAAATGCAAACTTCTGCATTTGGATTTAATAAGATCAATTTCACAAGAGCAGGCTGGGGAGAACTAACAGTTTGTTTGAAGGAAATCTAGGCTCTTATATTTTCCTGGGATCACTATTCTGGACAGTGGTTCACTATTTACTGAAGGTGAATTTCACATGTTCTATGACCAACATGGTCACACATGTACAATAGGAAGCATACACAAGGTGGACAGAGCACAACCTGGAAACAAGCAAGCCCCATACCCACCATAGACAACATGGATGATTTACCAATAAGATGTTAGAGAGAAAAGGAAGCCCTGAAAGTTTACACACAGCATGATAACAGGTGGCTGTGTTGTAGATACTTATTGCTTTATTATGTATGGCAACGTAAATAAAAGTGGGCCATGCATGGACCAATGGAGAGAGTACATTCTAAGAGTGGTCTAATACCATGCTTTGAGTTTCAATAGAGAAGAAAAGCAACCCACAACTAAGATCTAGGGATTTTAGTACCTGGATCCAGTTGAGTATGAGTCTGCAGTGTGACACAGCTGCTCAGAAAGCAATAAACAGTTCCCCAGGACCACACTAATGGAGCTAAAGTGCCTGGGACATGGTTGATTCTGCACTGGCTGGCTGTATCTGCAGAACTGTATTGTATTCTGAGCACCACATTTTTCTGGTCGGTACCTTGGTGGAGGAATCTTCTCTTAGGCAACTGGGATTGAAATATTTATTTTCAACAACATCACGGAGCATAAATTATCAATTTAACAGGTATTTTGAGTGCTATCAGCACTTGAAATTTTTCTGAATTGAGCAAATGAAAATGTCTATTGCTAAATTTTTTGTCATATGTTTTCTTTCTCTCTTTGGAATTAGATTTCACCTTAGGGAATGGTATTTTTTTACAACATATCTGGTGAGGCAGACAATTAGTGAGGAAGTAAACACCTACAAAATATGCAGAAGGAAATGAGAAGGGTGCTATGTGAACCCTCACTGGAGAAGCCTCATTTAATCTGAAACTTTACTGATACCAAAGGCAGGGGCATGAAAAGCTAGCAGTCAAGTTGAACATTCCCAGGAGGAAGCAGAAAGCACAGAGACCTGGGGTGGGGAAAAAGTAGGAAGGTCTGCAGTGAGTGAGGCACAGTGAGGGAGGGAGACACGGGGGACATGGGGCTGGGGCTGCAAGGAGCTCGGGTTTATTCCCAGGGCAGGGAGGGCCAGTGGAGGATTTTAAGCGGGGAGTAGATGTGATCCAGCTAACTTTTCAAAACCATAACTCAGAGTTTTAGGTGGAGAATGGATTGAGAGGGAGGCTGAACAGAAGCCAGAAGACTGGTCAGGGTCCCAGCTGGTATGGCGGACCCCTGCCCCAGGGCATGGAAGTTGGGGGAACAGAACTGGACCCAAGGTAAACTGTGGAGGTGGGATGTCCCATGATTGTGATGGGCTGGAGGAAGGGAGTGAGAGGTGGAGGAATCAAGATGAGCCCAAGCTGCTGGGAAACCGGGGCATTTCTGGGATGAGGATGACTTTGCAGCAGCAGCTGACAGAAGGAAAATCAAGGGTTCAAGTTGGTCAAGTTAGAGATGCTTGTGAGAAGACTCTTTAAGGGAGAGCCTGGGTTTGTGGTACTGACATATTTTAGGACTGTGTAGCCCTGACTCCAAGTTGGGGAAGACACTTAAGCCTCCTCATCAAGGTGGGCCATTTGGAAGATGCCTAATAACAAAAGGTGCCCGGAAGCCTTTGGGGAAGGTGTAATCATGAGATGGAATCTTGAAAAGAAATGTTAGATGGGATCTAATAAACAATAGGTACTCCATAAGTTGTCACAAAATTAATACATGGATGAACTAATGTTTTCATTACAATTTCTGGGATTTGGGGAGATTTTAGCCATAGGAGCAAATTCAGTCAATTCATTGTAATTATGTTCCCTAAATATATCACCTCATCTATTCCCACTGAGACATTCACCTGCCAACCTCCTCTCTATACAGTCTTTAAGAGACTTCAGTGCTGAGTGGAGCTTAGAGGAGGCCACAGATTTTGAATTTCACACCACACTTGCAAATATTAACTCATTTGATTCTCTTAAGGATCCCATGAGGTGGGAGTACTTACTGCCTCACTGTGTGGATGAAACAGCCAGCGTATGACTGGGTTAAGTAGCAAGTGGTAGAGCTGGGACTCAAAACACAAGCTCTGGCTCCAGAATATATCCTCTTTACCATTATAATGCTACCTTTACTCACAGGTTTTTAATCTGTTTTAAAAATATCAATGCACCAAGTGACTGATGTGGCTTTACTCGTATGATTACAACAAAATGTAGAGTGTGGGTTAGACCAGCTAAATTGCTCATCAACAAAACCATTAAATTTTCATTGAATAAACTATATTTATTTAATTTATTAACTTTTTATTTAATAATACTAAATATTTTACTGAACAATACGTGGCTCTGTTTTTTTTTATAGAGTCTACCTGTTTAAAAGCAAGAGAATATGCTTTCTTTACGTTCAATAATGATAATTTTGAATTGATACAAATCTATGCCTAATTTACATATTTAGGGATTATATAACTTATAATAATATTTTCTTTATATTCTGTACAAATTTATAAGTGATGTATATATTTACAGCAGGTGTATTACATGGGGCTTTAAGAATTTGTTTCATATATAAAATAAACAATTCTATTGTATTTGAAACAAATTCTATTATATTTCTTGAGTGAGCCTTTATTCTTATAGTGTACTTACAGACTAAAATTTTACTTCTTTCATTATTTAGGGGGAGATGAATTAATGTAAATTTGACTATTTTAGTTACTAAAGGGATCAGGAGATATATCCAAAAGGAATGATGTATCACGATATTTAGAACACACTACTTTGCCACATGGGAAGAAACAGAAGGATTTACTAAGTGAAAGAACAATATCCATAAGCCAACCATCATAGCTTTTACTTGTTTCCACAAAAAATAGAAAGGCAAGCATTTGTTCATGTAAGGTGATCTAATTTTATCATCAAGGACTAGTAGTGGTCTTAAGAAAATTAATGTGGCAACTAAATTGTGGCAAGACGGAGAACTGATGACCAATTCTAAAGTTAATATAAACATTTTCAGTACAGACTTTCCACATTTTAACTGGGGTATAGGTAAAATTCTCCTAACATGTTTATATAGCCAATTGCATAAATGATTTGTACTCAGTTTAACTTCACATAGTACACTAAGAAGTTTAAAGTCATATGAACTTCATATTTTATTGCAATTTGACTTTCTTTATGAATGAGAGAGTGTTAGGTTGCATCTGCTTTATAAGGCATCCAGGGAACAATCACTGTGACCACACATGTTAGGTACGGGACTGCGGTGGGGGGTGTTGGAACAGACCTCAAATCACTTAGCTCCTCCTGGACCCTCATCAGACCAGTGACCTGAACTCAGGTGGACTTTTCTTCATGCACAAGCCATTGTAGGTTGTCAGGCTTCACATGAGCTTTAGAGCCTCACTCCTTAGATTGTAAAGATGTAATTTTCCACTTCCCTGGCCTGTCTAAAGTAAATGCACTTCAGACATTTTTCAATGTGCTCCACACATCCCTCTGCTGCTCCATGTCCTTTGTAAGCTCAGCTGAAGATGCTAGATTTTTAAGGGCCCTACAAAGTGTGTGTGTGCAGTTGCTGTAACCATTTACCAGCGGTTGGTTAGGACAGATTGGGGCAGGTGTGAGCCTGGCCCAGACAGCAACAGCTTTCTAAAGTGTCATTGGGATTTGCTATAATGCCAACAGCTTACCATTTTGTTCTTCTTTCTGAAGAACAGCCTGTGATTTATATTATCATGTGAGTGTTACTGGTGTGATAATGAAAACTCAGAAGAAGTTCTTCCTTCACACACTCGGTTAGTTCCAGAGGGAGTTTTGCTCTGACTTTACTTACCGACAGTGTGATTCTCATGGTGGTTATGTTTTCCTTTTGGCTTTGGCTTCTAAAAAGCTAAAGTCAAATTCAAGTGCCTGTTTTACCTACTGAAATGGCTTGCCTCACACCTTCTGTTCATGATCCTCTGGCTTGTCCCGTCTTGCTTTGTTGTTGTTGATTTTCTTCTGTCTCATTTTTTGAATTAATTTTTAAAGTAGCTTTCTTTTTTATTTCCTTAATGTGGCATTGCACTCCCAATCATTTAAATATAGCTTTAGATAAGGAGAGGTGTAAATAAATGAATACTAAATCGTGTCAATTTCATGGGAAACATGCTAAGAGGCATTTGAGGAGTGAGGAGTATTTCCAAGGAGCAATGACAGCATCTGCAGAAAGCATTTTCCTGGTGCAGCTGAATGTTGTGGAGACGGCATTGACTGACCTCCTTTAGCTCTGAGGGCGAGTGCCCAGGGAGGGAGAGCAGGCCCCCCAGAGACCACTTTGAACAAAGGATCTCATGGCTGATGAAGGCCTCAGAGGGAAACAATAGGAAGTTCAAGAGGGCTTTCCCTCCACGGATAGTGCATATGTTTTTTAAAAAAATTACACACAATTTAAAAAGATTGAGTAATGCTTTCAGAGAAATAAAGTAACCACAGTTACTCAGTTCTAGTAATGTGCCAAAGATGCAATCAAATAAAATCTCCAAAGTAAAATAATTGCTTGGCTATTGTTTCTCACTTGCTTTCAAATGATCTTCGATGGAAACAACACGTGCCTGAGATAAAGCTGACGAGAAATCTTAAGAAAAGCACTGAAGAATCAAAGGAAGATTGGAGGATCCAAGCAATTTAGTTCAGAAACTGCATACATTAACTTTGCTAAGGGATTGACACTAGGAAAATGTAAATATAGATGTTGAATTTAAATCTTGCAGATTCACCATAAAAATACCATTTTGAGTAAAGAACAAAATTTAAGGATGCAATATAGATGCCAAATACCATGTTTCTTGAAATTTGATAGAGGCTTACACCAGGAGCACACATCCACACACATCCACATGCATGCTCATGCACAAAGCTGTCATTTTGAGGACTGCAGGACAAAAGTTCAGCCAGTGTACTTAATCCATCGAATATCAGGGCTTGATTTTCTCTGTTGGAGATCCTTATTAAAAAGTAAGAAAAAAAAACCAAAAAAATTTTTTTTAGATAAAAGTGTAGCTCAAATGTGAGGAAAGCTTCCTTCTTGAATACTGAAATTACGCTGCCCATGTAGAGAGTCATTTGGCTCCAGAACCCTTTGGGGAGATAGGTCCTGAACCTGGGTAGGGATGGTGACCTCCAGCCACATGCTCTTACCTCCAGTTGCTTTGAGCTTGATGGTCATTAGTTCTTCTGAGATTTTGCTTTTTTTGATGGCTTGTGCATTTAGAGGACATCCAGATAAGCTGTGAAAATGGAAATTATAACAATGTGTGAAACATATTGTTTCTTATAAAACTGTGTATTCACTATCTACTATTTTTCTTTGACGGCCTGCTAATTACAACACAATCTGCAATCTCTTAGTACGAAGTTAACAAGTCAGTCTCCGGTTAAAACAAAAGCAAAAGGCCTTCAAATAATGTAAAATGTTTTGCATTGTTTTCCTTAAATCAAAATACAAGTAGCTACTGCTGATATTCTCATTTAACTAACTTTGTTAAAATGTTTCTGTTCTAACCTAAGACAGGCACAGTCGCAGAGGGCCCATCAGGTGAGAAATTGGGGATCAACAGTGGTGAAGCTTAGAACCTCACCCCCCCTGTTTTGAGAGAAATCTTCTGCATCCGTGGATGTTTTATTGCCCTTGTCTAGCTCCGATTAACACATAGTCTACAGGCACACGCCTGATCATCTACAATTGCTCTCTTACAACACTAAACTATGTTTTCT